AAATCAAAATATTTTGAAAATGTTATCGTGTATAGAAAATGTAAATATAAACAACCAGTGAAAATTTCATGTATATACGTTCATTACTTTTAGAGTTACACCAAAAATCAAAATCGATTTTTTGGAAAACCAATTTTGCGTAAAAATTCCCGTTTTTCCTTAATTTTTATGTTCTTTTGCCCGGCGCTTGTGAAAACTACTGGGAAATTTGACCCCCCAAAGTACCAACTAGATTCACTTTCCTATCAGAAAAGCTACTGATGAAGAAAATCCAAGCACTTTTACTGTCCTAAAACGTAATGACAGACACAAAAATATAAAAATATAAAAAAACACACATCATTGTAAAACCAATACATTCATCGCTCCGCTCAGAATCTAAAATAAAAATATATATTATTAAAAGTAATATTTATTCTTTGTATAGTAATTGTAAAACTTTGAACTAACCTCAGAAGAAGAAGAAGTTGTGTTGGGCTGTGTTATGAAAAACTCTGTCATTCGCCACGGACTAAGATATACTTAGGTATATCTTAGTCCGTGTCATTCGCCTAGTTTTTGAAATTATTTCCGTATTTTTTTTATCTTTTTCTTTTGCCAATTTTCGTTTATCTGCACCACTCATATAGACTCGCTTTCATTTAAGACGATCTTCTTCCATTTTTAAATTTTAACACTATTCACTGGTTAACTTATAATTTAAGAAACAAACAAACTGCATGGCAAAAGTCACACGGTCTTCAGGCTTCCCGTTCACCTGGAGGGTCGTCCCAACGTGTATTTTCCGCCGGGCCAAGAAGAATTACGGCCACAGAACGAAGCTGTTGGTCGCACGAAACTCACGCAGTTCTTCGCGACCTACGTGGTGGCTCGACAATACTTGTACCACGACATACCGATGCATTACACCTGGCAGCAAAATGTCAAACAATGGCGTCCGCGGGTGAATCGGATGACAAACGTTACTTTGGCTCGGATGTACGCAGTGAACCCAATGGACCGGGACCGTTTCCACTTGAGATTGCTACTTCTGAACCAAAGAGGCCCGCAGTCCTTTCAAGACATAAGGACGGTGGACGGGGTCGTTCACGGAACATACACGGCGGCTGCGATTGCACTCGGACTATTGGAAGACGACCTAGCGTGGCGGAATTGTTTGGATGAATCGGCGTTGGTGGACACACCGCGACAACTGCGGTATCTGTTCGTCACTATACTGGTGTTCTGCCTGCCGTTAGACCCGATGGCGTTGTACGAGAGGAACGAAGCGAACCTGATGGAGGACTTCAACCGGCGTCTCCAAGACGTCGAACGCGCGAGGGCCGCGTGTCTGGCAGCCATCGAGAATCTACTTCGTGGGCACGGAAAGTCACCCGCGGTCGACTACGGTTTGCCCCTCGCCGACCCCCTTCTACTGGAACCGCTGCAGGAGGACAACGCGCTGTTCCGAGAAATAGACGCGGCGGCAAGGTGGGCCCCACAAGTGGACGCCTTGAACGCCGAACAGCGAACGGTGTACGGCCGCGTGATGGTGGCCGTCGAAGACCCACGCGAGGCGTCGCGAACTTTCTTCGTCGACGGACCCGGAGGTACCGGAAAGACTACGCTGTACGGATGCCTGATATGGTCGCTTCGACACCGACCACAGCTGCGGGAGGTGTTGTGCGTCGAGTACACCGGGATCGCCGCGTCGCTCATGGACGGCGGCATGACGGTGCACTCGACGTTCGGACTGGCCGTTCGGCACGCTCACCGAAGACTCGACGTCCACCATCACCATGCAGTCCTAGCGAGCGTAGAAGATACGGAACGCGGCGCTCATCGTCTGGGACGAAGCCCCCATGTCGCCGGGACTGCAACTGACGGTGGTGGACCGCCTGCTCAGGGACGTCATGGTATCGGAATTACCGTACCGCGGTAAAACCATGCTGTTCGCCGGCCACTTCAGACAGATATTGCCCGTGATCCGGAGAGGGACGAGAGCCGACATCGTCATGTCTTCGATCAAGAAAAACGGTCTTTGGACGTCATGGAGCGCTTCGATCTGGTACGGAACATGCGCCCGGGCAACGACGAGGACTTTGCGTCTTGGTTGCTTCAGCTGGGCAACGGCCGACGAGTCGTCGTGTGTCTCACCAACGAAGAGTGCAGAGGTGTCAACGTGGATGTGCTGGAGCGCGTCGCCGGTAATCCGGAGACCTACCAGGCCGTCGACACCGCGGTGGTGGACGGGGCCGACGAAGTGGCCAATTTCCCCATGCAGAGTTCCTCAACGGTTTGGAACCGGACAGCCTGCCGCCGTTCCGGCTCGAGTAGAAGGTGGGGTGCATCGTGATGTTGCTCAGAAATCTTGATCCGAGGAGACGACTGTGCAACGGTACGAGGTTGGTGGTTGGTTATTTCAAGGCGAGGATTTTGCCTTTGGGCGGTGACCCACGGGACGACGACATCGTCCTGCCCAAGATACTGCTCAGGTCTAGCGGTGAGGACGACCTGCCCATCCCACTGAAGCGCATTCAATTCCCGGTGAGGTTGTCGTTCGCCATGACCATCAACAAGTCGCAGGGTCAGACGTTCGACAGGGTAGGTTTGCTTCTGACGACGCCCCCGTTCACTCACGGGCAGCTGTAAATGGCGTTTTCGAGGATGAGAAACGCACAGTCCGTGAGAGTCGACATGTACGCCGATGACAGCGGGCGATTCGTCACCAAGAACATCGTTTACAGAGAGGTTCTGTAATGCATTATGTGTTCACAACGGTAAGTGAAGCTCGATGTTCGAGTCTAGGTGGCGCTAGACTATCAAGTCTCGATGATCAAGTCTATGTGACGCTCAATGATCAAGGCTAGCGTCACCCTACATGTTCAAGTCTAGGTGACTCGGAGAGAAAGTTTGACAACCTCCACGTGGTCTCTCTGGATGCGAATACTCAAAGGTGTATTCGTAACTAATGTCAAACGGTTTGTAAGGATTTGAAAAATAGTATTCATAATATTGTACTTTTCAATAATAAATTCATTTATACCTACTTCAAAATACATAGTCTATGTCATGTAATGTAAAAAAGCATTTAAATAATATTATGTCACTTTGTAACGTTAGTTTACATTATTTAACCTTTTCATATGTTTTGTTAGTATTTAACTGCTAATTTTAGAAAATGGATTTGTTATTGATGTCTGTATGAGTAACTTTGGATATATCTATATTAATTCTAATTGTATTAATTTGTTTCAATATATTATTATTCATTATATTATGTAAGTACCTTTTTTAATTTGTTTTTACTTTTAATTATATAATATTAACTTTTAAACACAATTTGCTATTTACATCTGAATGGATAAATTTTTATAATAATCTCACGATCCGTTAGTAGAATTATTACATTGGATTTACAATTGTATATTTGTATGCTATGATTGTATCGATTGAAAATACATATATTATGTAACTTCTTACATTTCGTTTGGTACTTTGTAACCACCAATTGTTATTATAATTAATTGTAAGTTTAATATACTATAATATGCTTTAACTTTTATGCCTATGCCATTAACTTTTAACCACAATTTATGTCTGAACGAATAACTTTTTATCTGTTAATATAAAATATAAATATTATTATAGTTGACATTGTATTGATAATCCTAGACTGTGATTGTATTTACATTTGTTACACTGTGCTATTGTGGAACTTTTCACATTTTGTCTTATACTTTATAACCGCCAATTGTTATTATTAATACAATATAATATGTTTTCACTATTATGTCTAACTTTTTATAATAATCTAAATATCTGGTCATATAATATTATTATACTTGGTATTCAACCACCAATTGTTATTATAAGCTCTCTATAACTTTGCTTTTCATTTCAGTATGAATAAACTTTTTTATAATAATCTAAATATCTGTTAGTAGAATTTTTAAGGTTGAGATTGCATTTACAGTCCTATGCTATGATTGTATTACTATTATTTTACTATTATGTCTATGCCAATAACTTTTAAACACAAAATTTTCAATTTATGTCTGAACTTATAACTTTTTATAATAATCTAAAATATCTGTTCATATAATATTATAATTGGTATTCAACTACCAATTATTGTTATTTTATATTACTATTATTTTAATACAGTAAAACCTCCCTATAACGGAACCGCTTGGGACTCAATTTTTTTCCGTTATAAAGAGTTTTTCGTTATAGGGAGGTAGAAAAACTATTGAAAGATTAATAGAAAATTATTGACATTTTCCTTTATAAGGAGGATTCCGTCTAATAGAGGGTCCGTTATAGAGAGGTTTTACTGTATTTTATAATTATATATTTTTATTATTTTAATATTTTTTAATTTTATATTTTATAATTTTAAATTATTATTATTTTAATATTAATATTAATATGGGAGAGAATCGCACAGTCGATTGCACATAACCGTACACACTACCTACTGCATATAGACTATTTAGCATGGCGACGCGTCGACACGGCATGCGACGCCACGCAAGAAATCCGTTTTACGTGCGGCTATAGATGTTTCACATCAAAAATTTAAACTTTATATATCAATTATGACTACGTTAGTGGGAAGTATATTAGACGGTATTTTTAGGGAAAAATTGAGTAAATTGTGGATGAGTAAAGAAATTGTTAATGTCTAGATTCTAGAGTCTAGAAGATAAAACATGAGGCATAATAGTCAGAGTTATCGGTATCTAAATTCATGATGAAAATATGCGAGTTCTATAAAGACGTAATTATTTTATTAACAAAACAAATCAAAAATATTTTTTTTTAAAATACTGATATATTATTGTAAAATTGGTTAATTAATCCTTTCACTCAGAATATAAAAATAAAATGTTCAATCTACATTAATTTCAATACATTTTTTATTTAAAAATATATACATAGAATTTAATATTTTATGTTCATAATATTATTATAAAATATATTTAAAACTATTACTGCGATGAACACATTTTTGAAATTTATAATTCAGTTTTTACGTCTTCTGGCACATTAATATTATAAAACTCTGTTAATGGTAATCTACTCCAAAATTCAAAATTTCCATGGTTCGAATGTTCTCTGGCTTCAAATGTTTGTTGTTGAGTAATCTTAATGAACCTGAGAGGATCTGCTGGATTCTTGGAAACAGGTGACCAAATTTCTGAATTTCCAATATCTGGAACTCTATAAAAGTAAAAATAAAATTATAAAGTATAAACACTATGGCTATCGAGTGATAACTCGTTGAAGACTAATTAAATTGAATATAAAAAAAATATAAATTGAAAATCTGTATTTTTTTATTTAGTTATACATAGAGCTGCATAGACTAGAATTAAGTTATTAATTAGATTTCAATTTTATTGATAACAACGATAGATTTGTCGTTAAAAATTAGATATTTACCCGTTTTTAATAAAGGTTGACCAAATATTGACCATAGTTTTCATCATCTTTGCATCTTCTTCATTGTCGTGAACATTGATACCGTTCGTTTTTAATATATAAAAGGTTTCATCGCCATGAGTTACGTCTAATTGTTTATTAGTTATAACAAATTAATAAATCTGTGTTACAGTTAAACATATAAATAAAAAGTTTAAAATTAAAAATTGCATTTACTTGATTCTCGGGAATAAGGTTTTGTTCCGAACGCAGCTATGTAAGAATAATTACCACTGTATCCAAATTCATGGAAATATACAGGCGCCGTATTCTTCGCAGCAATATGCTGGGCTGCTTTACTAATTCCATATCCAAATAATCTATCTGATATCATCTGAAGAATGTTGAGATTAGATATTTAGATTAAAACTAGAAAAAAATGCATTCTTAAACTATAAAAATATACTGAAATTTAATATTCATTCAACAAGTTATTCAAAAATACATATTGTGTCAGTAATAAATTGTTATAATTTGTTGTCAGTTACTACATTTTGTTCTATATATTATGATGGTTCAGTCTTGTAATAGGATAAGAATTATATAATATATTCTTATCATTTCATATTTTTTTCGCAATTGTTGTTCAATTATAAAAATATGTACAAAGGCAAAAAAAAATAATACGGACTGAAACATTTTTATTCTAATCAACTACCTACGTACATATAAAAATCAATAACTTACGTACACTGTGATACCTAGATAATTTGCAAACTGCAAGTACCATGTAAATAAATTGTTGCATAATAAATTCAATAATATGGTATAACCCACAAATTTGTAAAAATAAGTATACAGCAAAAAGTTGTAATTCTAAATATACACATAAATTGACTAAATTGATTCTTTCTTTCAAGATACCAAAAATCATGTAAATTTTTAATTTTTCAATTCCTTATAGATCTGATCTAATAATGAGTTATTAAAATAGTAATAACTAGGTGGTATATTAAATTGATTTATATCTTTAAAAATAAACAAATATTAAAAATGTTCTAAATATTTTTAAAAAATTAGAATAAACTTACTTTTACAAGATTGCTTTTTGTTTCTTTTGATATTGGTTTGTCACCAAAGTAAAACTCTTTTATATCTTGAGCAATTTCGGACCTCAGATTCTCGTTGTCGGAAATCGTGTAATTATAATCAAGAAGATGTGGTAAATGTTCATTCCAATTATTGTTTAGTTCATTAATAGCATTGTCTGAACCAAAAATTAATTGTAAAATAAGACCCTCATCTTGGCATAAACTTATCAGTACTGGAATGTCATATGGAACGAGTTTTTCTGGGATATCAGGTAAGAATTTTTCGTCTCCTTCTACTTCAACAGTTGGACCAAACGGTACAATGGGACTAAATGTAAATGGCTATATGCATTAAAATTAAAATACAATTTCAGAATATATTGTATTTATTACTTAATTATGAACAAAAAATTTACCATGAAGTTTATTATTGATTGAGCAATGTCCTTTCCTGGTCTAGAACGAAGACATTCGACGATTTCCAAGGAATTATTTGTTGGACATCCCAGCATGTTTGCAACATACTTTGTTTTTTGATCAACGTTTTCAGTATGCGACCAATGACAAAATGCACTTCCACTTTGAATAATTACTCGATTAAATAACCCTAAAAATGTAAAAATTAAAATATTGAAAAATAGTAAACACAGACAATGTTGTTAAATTTAAGTTAAATAGCTCTTTAATATTATTAAATCTAATGAAGCTGATAAATAAACATTGCTTTTTTTAAGCACATGTATGACCAAGACCAAGAGTTGCCTCTTTTTAATGATGTTAATTAGCTAATGACGAAGGTCATATTATTCATATCCAATGTTAGTGTATACTAACCTAGTTTCTCGGAAGAAAGTATGCTAATATTACGTTCAACAAAAATATACAATTTTCAGTGGTTCATAAATTACATATTAAGTGTATAATTTTTTCTAATCAATCATCCATGCTAATAAACTAATGTTGGACACTAATAATTTTTATTGATATGTAAGTAAAATAAAATGACGTCAATTGAAAACATTATTTCTAGAAGCACAATAAATTGAAAACTTTTATACTTTGAACTTTTTGTTCACCTTTTGAAGTGTTTATAAGTTGTATTTGATGAAGGTATCTAACGTGGGTACACCAAAGACCTAACACAAAAATACATAAGTCGATGTCGATTTATTTGTATTCCCTTTGTGGTTCGACTGTCAGATTGTATGCATATGACAAATATAAATTAATTAAGATGAATTCAATTAAAGTATATCCCTTTAACCATGGTTTATTAAGTAGGTACCAGCTGAATCAAACTCTTCGTTGCCTGTTTTAAAAAAATTGTGATTGTTCAACTTCGTTTGAGTGCAACTCAGCAGCCCTGGTAAGTAATCCAACCAAGTCGGATCGCGGACGATTTGCAACATCATACCAAGAAAGCAATTGGCAAAAATGAAATTTCATGCATGCTCTGCACTTGATCGTCTGATGGTAGCCAAAAAAATAATAAATACTAATTTCTACTAATTAACTAATCATTACTCCTATAACCACGAAGACTCCCGGGTTTTGGTGCCTTGCGGCTACAACCGCAGACCTCACATTAGCGCTGTGCGCTAGTCGAGAGCCGCGGAGGTTCACGGTCGACGTACGGTGGCCCAGTCCGCCGGCCGCTCGTCGTCTATGGACCACGAGCACCGGGACCGAGGTCCCGTACCAAGAAGACAGGCCAAGTGCCGCCTGAATTCGCCTGGTCTGGCTGTGTGCTATCTCCACACCGAGTGTTTCTGGTTACACCCAACCTCCGATGATACTACACCGGTATAGCGGCTAGACGCCCGAGAGGAACCGACAACGAACCGGAGACTCGCGCCCCCGGGACGTGGCGGCCATTCATCAGAGGTTTTCGCCTGTCAGCGAGAACTTAGAGTAAGTTTCTATTGACTTAACCACATAGTATTCGTAAGAAAACCGCCACCACGATTCCTACCGGCAACGGACGTCCAGGGGCGTGAACCTACACTGGGCGCCCGCGGTGAGCGGCGTCGTTGCCGACGGGGCCCCACTCACTCCCGTGGTACTGAAGCGTCTTCAGTCAGACTCTCACCCCCTCGAGAGCTACCAGTTCTGTCCGGCAAGACGGGCATTGGTTTGCCTTAACCGCGGACGAACGTCCGCGAGGTGCGAAATTAATCTTGGCCACCACCCTTTCGAACCGTCATCAGCGAGGACCCACTCTTAGGGTCAGTCTGGCCGAACGTCCCGACCCGGATGCCTGCCGAGCCGAGGCGCCCTGCCCAAGCTGACGACAGCCCTACCTTTCGGTCAAAGGTGGGACTATTTGCGACGACCACCCTCGCCTACCGACTTAGGGACTCTAAGCAGACGAGCCATCAGCCGCGAGCTCGTAACACTCACCGCTGTGTCCCGGAGACATGCCCGAACCCGGCTTACGCTGAGACGCCTGGACGGAGCGAACTCCGGCGCCCGTGCTCTCAACTCGTATTAAGAGCACCACCGGCTGGGTCGGTGGCCCAACCGGCGACCGTGAACCGGCCCAGAGGACATACTGTCCGGAACTACGGGTCATTTGATCGAAGCTGTCCGCGGCCGGTTATTAGTTATTCGCAGGCTACCCGACTCGGAAGCGACCGAGGGAACCGGGCTTCCCCCTATCCGCAACCTGGGGACGCGATCTATACCGTGCGTCCACGGTCGCGAAACTCACAGTAGGCGGCTGTGGTTAACTACTATAACTCCTATTACTCCTATAACCAGTTGCAACAATGAATATACAAAAATGTCCACTGTTAATCTCAAAATCTCTGTTTTAGACCTTCCCAGGATGAACCTTACTGGTCCATCTATCATTCAAAATTATCTCAGGAACCATTCAAACACACGCAAAATATTCATCAAAATCGGTCTTGTGTTTAGGAATGCATAAATGACACACAGTCAGACAGAAAAATATTCAGTTATATAGATATAGATGATTGAGTAGAAAAAGGATATTATTTTTTATTAAATAATATGTTGATAAAGCATTATCGTATTGACCACAGTCTATGTACATTTTATCGATACACATTTTATATTAAAAACCAGTATAATATAATATAAAATCTACCTAGGTACATATTTTAATATTGAATACAAACGTTACTTCTGAGCAAAATATGTATTTTTAAATGAGGATTTACCTGTACAAAACGAAAGTTCTTGGGATTCCTGCAAATAATAATTTAACTTTACAGTTTAAATTTCTTTGGTCACATTTTATTTGTACGGATTACGATAAAGTACAGTACTACAGTTTAGTTTTTAGTTGTTTTAAATAACATTGTAGATTACATAATTACTCTTACCTTTAGACATTGGTGAAATCAGATGGCTATGAACAGAACCTGCACCAGCTGACATGCCAGTGATTGTTACACTGTTTGGGTCACCACCAAATGCAACTATGTTTTGTTGTATCCACTTCAATGCTGCTACTTGGTCTTTCATTCCGTTATTCCCAGGCAAAACACCATCACCGGTGGAAGCAAATCCTAATACGCCCAAACGGTAATTCATTGTTACGTAAACGAAATCGTTGTTGTCCAAAAGATATTCTGGACCATATGTCAGGCTTTCGCCACCAAGGTATGCGCCACCATGTATATGCACCACAACGTTCATTAGTTTACCTGGTGCATTCTCTAGTGGAAGCTGTTTAAAAAATGTAATGACATTTTTATGTACATTGAAATGTTTTATTTGGGAGCTAGGATATTTACTATTATTAATGTAGACTTAAGATAAATTATAAATCAACGTAAACGTAACATAATAATTTTTAATGAACAATGCTCATATCATTAGTGTTTATGTAATTTTTGAAGTGTTTAACCGTATTAAAAATATCTGGGAAGTTCTGAGTATAGAATTTTAAAAGTGTTTTAAATATATACAGGTTATAATATAACGTATTACGTATTTCTAAGTCATAGTTGAGTTGTCTTACATAATACGTTGCCAGGGGTAAATGAATACGAGACCGGTGAATAGCAATAAGTTACTTTTTTTTCTTACATGAACCAACTTCAAGTAGAAATAATCAAATAAATGAATACCTATAGTGGTTATCCTTTTCATTATATTTATCAATAGCCATCACGCTAAAACAACCGTTTAATTTTATTATTTAAACTTTCCTTGAATCGTCAAAATCTGTTGAGTATTATTTGGATCTACACGCCTCAGCAGTGGCGCCGAACACAGGTATCAACTGGGGAAAATTTCCCAGAACTATTTATAATTGGGTCAGGTGGGTGGGTAGGTAATAATAAGTGATCAGTCATTAGTGGTATTTAATATTTAAACATCATCATAATTTAACAATAATGGTAAGTGTAAAGAATAGGCAATAATAGTATGAGTATGGTGGGTCACCCGGCAGTATATCGCGATTATAATGCACTATTCGAGAGTAGGTATACATTTTTTTTTAAGTAGGTGGGTCTAACAATAGAATTTTTTCCCCTGAATATGAATATAGATCGGAACCACTGAGCCTCAGTAACACACTTTTAGATTTCTTTAGAGCTTCTCAAATAACACCTGTTGTGTACTTGTCTCCGTCCATCAGTTAAAATTATATCGCTACGATTGTATGTAATAAGATTTTATTACTGCAGTCATAATCAAATATTAAATTAATAGAAGCCAATATTAAAACAAAGGTGGGCAAGTGGGTGTCATCCTTGATACGGCACAAATGATATCAAATATTAATATGTGTACTTACACAATTGTGTATTTGTAAGGCGTTATTTAGATAGAACCTGACTACCTTACAAATATCTAGGCATAATTTATCGAACTATAGTTTCTGTTTTGCTTCTGTTAAAATAATCTCATATGTTTTCTTGTCCGATTCAATCGACTATATTTTGTTAAGTGTACTTACGCAAACCTCAACAATACACTTTTCCTTTAATATAATATAATAATTATAAGTTGTTCGTCAATTTTATATTTAGAAAGAATACGTTTTTTTGCCTTAATGGAAAAAAATATAATATTTATTGACAATTATATCGAATAAGAATTTTTATATATACAGGGTGATTTTTTTATCGAAGAACACTCATTATTTCAAAAAGTATTAATGTTTAAGTAAATATTTTTTTACATAGTTTCAAGTTGTTAAAAAACAATATTTTTATTAAAAAATTATATTTTTAAATATTTTTTATCCTTTTAATTTTTTAAGTTTTTTACTTTTTTGAATGACAACATCTAATTTTAATTTGATATTCAAAAACAGAATATTTTTCTGATTATTTTAATACATAAAAATTGAATTTAGGGCAAGTAGTTTATGAGTTATAAGTATTTAAAGTTTAGATGAGCGGAGTAGAGGACAAACATTTCGCGGGGTAACCCCGTACCACTCTACTCCGCTCATCTAAACTTTAAATACTTATAACTCATAAACTAATTGCCCTAAATTCAATTTTTATGTATCGAAATACTCAGAAAAATATTCTGTTTTTGAATATCAAATTAAAATTAGATGTTGTCATTCAAAAAAGTAAAAAACTTAAAAAATTAAAAGGATAAAAAATATTTAAAAATATAATTTTTTAGTAAAAATATTGTTTTTTAACAACTTGAAACTATGTAAAAAAATATTTTCTTAAACATTAATACTTTTTGAAATAATGAGTGTTCTTCGATAAAAAAATCACCCTGTATATAAAATAAATATATGCATTTTTCAATCACCTTAGGCGTATACACGTTGATAAATAAACAATCTTCTTGACCAATAAGTGATAAAATAGATTTAAAATCTTCTCCAAAAGATAGTCCGAAACAGGCACTTCCAGGAATGGTGGCGTTCCATACTCCCAACCAAGGCTTTACGGGTTGAGGTTCCTAAGAAAAAAATTTTCAATTTGTTTTGAATATCAATTGTCTTCAAATATAGCAATTAATCTTAACATACTTTAAATCGATAATTTTGAACTGGGGGACTTGCATAAGGTATGCCTAAGAAAGAATAAATTAGTCGGCCATTATAGGTGTACTGAAGTCATAGCCGTCCCAAGGGGGGGGCAAATGGGGCAAGTGCCCTAGGGCGTCTAAAGTATTATGAATTTAGGGGGCGTACTAGAAATGGATGATAAAAAGAAAAATTTGGTGTTCTTATTTTAGGTATTATTTTTTTGTTTATACTGTAATATCAAAGATGAGTATCTATCAAATTGTATACTATTAAGTAGGTACCTATACAATTATGTAAATAATGTGTTAAATCTTAATGCGACATAACTTCAATAATAATATATTGAATATTCATAAAAACAAATAAAAATATTAATACTTATAATTTATAAGATTATTAAGATTACAATAGTAATTTATTTAAGCACATGAAATATATTTTAAATATGTATATACATCATTACAATAATTAAGTAATATACTGTATACTATATTGTAATATACTTATAAACTAAACTAATTCATATCTTTGGTACCTAGTAGTACCTTTTTTTATTTTTGTGTCTGTCATCACGTTTTAGGACAGTAAAAGTGCTTGGATTTTCTTCAACAGTATCTTTTCTGATAGGAAAGTGAATCTAGTTGGTACTTTGGGGGTGGGGGTCAAAATTTCCCAGTAGTTTTCACAAGCACCGGGAAAAACAACATAAAAATTAAGGAAAAAACGGGAATTTTTACGCAAAATCTGTTTTCCAAAAAATCGATTTTGATTTTTGGTGTAACTCTAAAAGAAATGAACGTATATACAAGAAATTTTCACTGGATGTTTATATTTACATTTTGTATACACGATAACATTTTCAAAATATTTTGATTAAATTTGAACTGTTTAGGGACATTTTCATTTTCCATTTTGTTTTAGTTTTTTTTTTTTAAATATCAATAAAATTGTATTTGTTGGTTAAAAAAGATTGAAAATTAAATAGAGGGCTGTTAGTATATTGTTTCAAAGGCAAATGAAAAATATTAAAAATCCTTAGTCACAATTATTTTTATAAGCATTTAATATTCAAAAATTGACAAAATATGGAAAAATCACGAAAATTAGCAAATTATTTTGAGTTAAGAATTCGTAAAAATTTTTCTTTTTAAATCTAAGATTTGAAAATGTAATACAAGATTCCTTATAAGATTATCTACCTTTATCAAAAAAAAAAATGTCTATAAGAAAGTCAAATTAAATTTTTATGAGAGTTCGAAATCCGTAATATTTAAGTATAAACGAACAATTTCAAAATGTTTTAACTTAATGGATTTTTTTAAATCAACTGAGAAAAGCTAAGTTATTTCAATTGTAAATTAAACTATTTAAGTTCATAAGTTGATTAGAAAATAAACTAACTAGTTAAGTTAAAAAGTTAAAAAAAATTAACTTTTTAACTGAACTTTAACTTTTCAACTAGTTAATGCCCACCTTTGAATTTTATAATCACTTATATTCACTTGTGCAATTTACAATGTTGATTGTTATACTACACTGTTATTACACACGCAGAAACGCAGAATGTATGATTTATAATGAGATCTAGGTACTAATTTGTGAAAATAGTTATATATATTTTCTTTCTGTAATGTACGAGTGTTCCCAGAATAATGAAATCGGTGTTCAAATATAAACAAAATAAATATGATCCCAATAATAATATTTAAAAAAATAAGTAGGAACCTTTAATTAATAAGTATTAAACATATTTAAGGTATGTGGTTAATTATAAGCTAAAAATGCGAAGTCGAGATTTTTTGGTGGGGGGGTGAGGGGCGTCAAATATTGTTGCCCTAGGGCGTTATTGGTGGTTAGAGCGGCACTGACTGAAGTCCACCTGCAATTTCTCCAGAGCTTACATGCACTCGAGGCGTATTAGATGCTGAACATGTCAAAAAGCATCCGACAAATAAAAACAAGTTTAATGAAATTCCACATGTCTTTATCATGTTTAATGTAGATGAATTCTGCAAGATTGATTTTAAAATTAATGTCGATTCAGTTTTCGTAAATATCCAGATGTTAATTATAATTATATATCATACATATTGAATTTAGTTCATAACAATAAAATTCTGAAAACAATGATTAGTTTGATTAGGAAGCATGTACTAAATAGTAGCTACAAGTATTAAATATGGGTGTGTTATGATTGTGTATGGACCTCTATCATACGCAGTCTTGTAAAGTACTTGAGTAAAAGTATTTGAGTAAAGTATTCAAATACTTTTTAAGTACTCAAATACGTATTCTAAATACATTTGAAAAAAGTACTTGGGTATAGTATTTGAATACTTTTTTGAAAGTATCTGTATTTAAAATCAAATACTATTTTTAAATACTTTTACTTTATTACCAAATTTAAATAAAATAATAAAAATTTGAAATTGTACAAGATTTTTAATTATAGATCGTTCATGGTGTGTTTTGGTGGGTATATTGTAATATTTTTAGTGGCCTATACTAGGTAATGTGTATCCATTTAACTGAATGTATACAGTCTGTCGATTTCCTAATAAAATTGGAAATACCTTTACTCGAATTATATATAAATAAAACATAACGATAGTTGATTGATAATAATATATTATATCTATACATTATACATACTAAATTTATTTAGTTGACTGATAATTCAATTTATCTATAAGGTCATTAGGCTAAGGTAAAAAAGTGAAAAATATTTTTAAAAAAAAAAAGTATTTGAAAGTATTTAAAAGTATCTGTAAATACTTTTTAAAAGTATTTGTATTTGTACTTAAATACTTTTTTTTCGAGTATTCAAATACGTATTTTAAATACTTTTGAAAAAAAGTATCTGTATCTGTACTTGAATACTTTTTAAAAGTATCTTTTACAAGACTGATCATACGTAAGAGTAGTATTGACTCAATTATATTTAATCCAAATGATATTGTATTGAAATTTATATTTGAAATTGTTGTAATAATATTTAATTGATGACAGTATTATAACAGTAAACAAGTACCTATGCAATCAAGTATAATTAATACACGATACACGTACCTATCTATTGATTACTAAAACAAATAGATTTATTTTTTACATAGTTCAAAGTTAATGAATTATATATTAAGTTTATATTTCTCATGATGTATAGTTAAACTTATTTACTGGATTTTTAATGAATATTAAGTTATTAAAATAGTGTATATTAATATCATATTATATGATTGTTATTAACTTGAGATAACACCACATTACCATGGAACAGTGTAAATAGGTACATGATATAAATAGCCAAAATAGTCAATACATCGTTGCTCCGCTTTTAATAAAATTATAATTCTTACATAATGACATTCATAGTTTGAGGTAAAATACATCAGAAATAAACATTAATATAAGGAATATAAATGTTTAAATTAGAACAAATGAAACTTTTCATCATCAACCATAAAAAAAAAAATAAAAATAATATTTTATATTTTGTATGTAGGTATATAGAATATAAATTTATAGTACATTATATTATCAAGTTGCAAGTCCAAATTTATGAGAGTTAGGTACTAATTATATTGTTTGTTGTACCTTTCTGTTGAACCCGAATACTTACAATAGTTATGAAATATGACTTGCTTGATGATCACAAAATCTTAATTTTCTTACAAACACTTGCCAAACGTTCAAATGTTAACATTCACCATCAAGTTTCAAGAAAATGTTTAAAATATTAGATAATAACCACTTTGCCTTTCACAATGTTTTGGTTACTTTACATTTATAAGAAGTACACCTATTACAGTCACATTTATACCTTTTCATAATCACGAATAATAAGTCGTCATGGCTCAAATATAAAACATAATATTATTGATGTCATACTTAATATTAAATTGTTTTGAAAACTCCACTCAATTACGATTAAATCTATTCACAATGCCTTTCAATTTAAACCATTAAGAGGTGGCACTTATATGTAAATGGTTTTTATATAACTTTTATGTGATACCGTACTCTCATAATTCTATGATTGTGTCACTTAAGTATACAGATTACAGACATTACGTTAGACATTTTTAAAAATGATCATAATACATGATTATCTGGCTAATGTTGATTTTCCCTGACAATAAATAACCGTAAAGCATGGAAAATGTTAACATTATCTAAATTACCCTCAACATAGGTATACATATTAAGATACTTTAAAAATTAGTTTACACACGTCCTAAACTATAGATATTACAATTAGATGATGATAATACATTGAAAATTAGTCGATGAGCAATTCAAACTTATCAATATATAACTTATGTAATAGGCATCAGTTATATAATAAAAAAGCACTAAACCTTAATAAATAACCTAATATAGAATAATATATATATATATATAAGTATATTTGGTCATATTCTGTAGAAGTAAAAATTACCGGACTGTTTTCAATAAAAACTATATCAAATATTATCTCTGAGACTCGGGAATTTGTAACGTCATTTTTCAACAATTCGGTCCGCTTATCCGAAGTAGATTTAAAACTTTTTAAAATCCACGATCCAACTAGTATAAACATTAAATCTAAATTACCCTCAATATAGGAGTACATATTATATTTTAAAAATTAATTTACCCACGTCCCGCACTATGGGTATTGTAATTATTTGACGTTAATACATTGGAAATTAATAGATGCGCAATTCCAACTTATTAATATATAACTTATACATTATGTACACTATGTGTAACAGAAAGACTTGACTGAAAAAAAAAATTGATGCTACTTAAACGTAGGTATGACAAAAATTGTTAAAATTATATGATTAGTAAATACTTTAAGAAATATACGTTATAAATATATGTTAGCAAATATCCAAAAATGTTATTGCGTTCCAAAATAATTTAATCAAAAAAATATTGATTTAAAAAAATTCTAAAAAATAAACTACTTGATTTAGATAAATGTTTTTACCATCCAAATCATTCTTATAATAAGATTAGCAAATTTTATATTTTGATTTTATTCAAAAAAATTTAAGGTCCGTTACCCCAGCACTGCTAAGTTTGAAACTGCAGAATATCAAAATAATCCAGTATTATGTACTTTATTTTGTACAATTTAGTACAACCAAAATTAAATTTGATACACCTCCACTAACACGAGAAAACGCGATTTTTCCATGTCCGTGCTGCGGTAACGTTACCCCCCATTCATTCATTAATGACGTATCGATATCTTCATAAATATTTTCATCTACAGAATTTGATTCTTCATTAGATATACCATCCTCTATGATATTATCAACATGTTGTAAGTACGATGACTTTTTAAAAATTAGAGATTGTAGATATTTTTTACTTCTAGCACAAGGAGTTTCATTTGCCAGTTCCTAAGCACAAACCATATATGGACTTAGTGCTATTTTGAAAATAGCTTCTAAAATTTGTTTGGTTTCTTGAGTTTCTTCCACTGAAGAACAGTATAATAGCAGTGTCATGGAACGAATAAACAATTGACTAATTCTAGGGAATTTTGATTTCTTAAGAGAAGTCTATTGTGATATTAGTTTTACAAAATGGTTGATATCGTTTCTAACAAAACATAACTGTATATCAATATCGTTAACTTGAATATTCATCACTAATTTGAAACATATTTTTAAGTACTCTTCAATTGAGTTGTACTGGGTAAATTATTGTACAATTGCAGACATAAAGGCCAAAGATTGATATTATATTACCATTTTGGGAGGTTTGACACCACACTCCAGCCATCGTTTTAACCACGTACATATACTACATATACCAACAAGTAGTATATATGTACCATTCCTGGGCCACCTCCATTTTATATCAGTAAAAGATCACAAAGAAAACAATGTGCAAAAAGATTAGAAAATTGAAATGCAATAATAATTAAAATATTTTTCACAAAACTAATGAAATGCAAAGATAATAAAAATATTTTCCGCAAAACTTAATTATTAATAATTAAAATCGAAATGCAATAATAATAAAAATATTTCTTAATAGAATTGTTCTATTAAAAATAAAAAGGTGGGCAAGTAGGTGTCGCTCTGCTGTACAGTATGTTACAAGTGGGTCACTGTATAATGGATGATATTAAATTTGAATTCAACGATATAATATCATTGTATAAGAAAAACGATTCTGAGCGGAGACGGCATGTCAGTCTAGGTGTAAGACATAATATATGTATACCTACATATCTGTGGTATTAAACAAAAAATTGACCTATAAAGGTACCTATAATAAATTCCAAATTAATCATATCACAATATCCATTAGGTACTTATAAGCGTTATACATCAACAACAAATCGCGATACTATCATAGATATATAATAGTACACTTTAGAAGTTTCAAGTACCCACGAATAATATTATACAATCACAACAAAATAACTAAAATAGTTATTCTAGGTTTATTAATATGTAATTTTGTCCAAATATGAATTTAAAATGTCTGTAAAAAATAACTGTGCTCATTATTTTTTAGATTTTTTGGCTACAGTATGAACTATTTATGAGAATCTTTTTTTAAAATTTTCAATCCTTAGCTATAAAAACTGAACATTTTATAATTTATTAATTACTATGATTGATAATTTTCGAGATTTTGATAAATTTTGTCAAAATGCGATCTTTAAATGCTTATAAAAAAAAATTGTGCCTATGTATTTTTAATATTTTTCAATTTCTATTGTAACAATATATCAGGAGCCTTGTATTAATTTTTTACACTTTTTGGCCCAACAGATAAAACTTTATTGATATTTATAGAAAAAAAAAACTAAAAAAATTGAAAACTGAAAATGTCCGTAAACGGCTCAAAAAGAGTCAAAATATTTTCAAAATTGTATGGTGTATAGGAAATGCTAATATAAACATTCAGTGAAATTTTCATGTATCTACAGTAATTCGTTTTTGAATTACAACAAAATAAGGAAATCGCCACATGAGAAATC